GTTCATATAATACTAGATTAAATAAAAAATAAGTTTACATTTCTGAATTAGTATTAAACATTAATTCTAACCATTATTCATATTTAAAAAATCTTCTTGATTTAAAGGGAAAAAGTCAGTATATTATCCTTATATTATAAGGCTAAATATTATATTAATATTGCCTCTAGTTAGCCAAGCTCTTAGAACTCAGAGGTGGCTGATATGAGTGCATGGTTATCATTTATCTATGAATTCCAACAGTAGTGAATGTCTCTGGAGTTCTAGGCATCAGTGAACAGTAATCAAGACCACGTCATGCTTCCTATGAGACTTACTCATCTGGGTAAGTGGTTACTAATCAAGAACAACTGGTGACCAGGGTTATAAGAAGAATTTAAATAGAACAATAAGATAGTAATATAAAATGTTTATCATAGAATTCTTTGAGGAAATGACTGTGGAATTGAAATCTGATGAGAAGGAAGCAGTCATATGAGGATGACAGAGATATAAAATTTAGACAGGAAATAATTGAAGAAAAGCTCCCCCAAACTGGAAAATTTAGTATGTTTGAGGATCAAAAGAAAGATGGACATCCATAGTGTTTAAGGAAGGACTGGGAAAGGGAGGTTCTGCATGCATATAGAGATAATCGGGGCAGCCTGTGATGAAGACAGCTGGAAACTCTTGTTATTATTGTTTTATGAACTCAGGGATCTGAGGGAGTTAGTTCATTTATTACTTTAAAACACAAATGCTTGTTATATGTGCACACAGTTGGGCTCTGGGCCTGAAAAGGGAGCAAGGAACCAACTCTTGAGTCTTGGATAGCTCACCGAATGGCATGGGGAATGGATTGGATGGTATCCCTGCTGCTGGCCAGCTCAGCCATTCACATGATATCTGGGAGATCTAGTGCCTCTGAAACACTGTGCAGTGTGACTCCTTTAAGAATGCTCTGAGCTTGCCTGTCTGGTCAGTGTCAGATAGAGTTGTGTGGCTGGCAGTCTTCTGCCTTTTAGCCAAGATGATCACATGAGCACCTGCTAATAAAGCACCTTAGAGAGTTCATCTTATTTCATCTGCTCACAGGATGAACACTAATGTGTGTTGTATGCCAATAAGGTTTGGCTGCAGGGGATATACATATACAGTCCTCTACATAATACACACAAATGGAAACAGTGCTGCACAGCTGGAGCAAAGGGTCTTCACCCAAATGAGATCGTGTTAAGCCTCTTTAACTTTTTCATGATATGTATTACTATTATTAATGGTTCTTAAAGGTAGTGGATGTATATGCTACATGACCTGGGGTTGGATATACAAAAGACAAAATTTGTGAGTCATTTTGATTTAATCCTCTCCATATTTTCAGTCATTAAACATTGGGTTAAGTTAGCTGTTACCATTTAAGAAGCAAAATTGATAAATACTGTTTTTGTTGTTGTTGTTGTTTTTTCCGGCATTAATGAGGAAAACCTTTTCTGTGCCAATGCTCCATCCCACTGGTTTCCATAATGAGTAGTTGCTTATGTGGGATGCCAGTCCTTCTCTAGCTGGGTGTTCCATGCAGACATGGCCTACCAAAGCAACAGGTGAGAGCTGTGTGGTTGCCATCTTGCTATTGTTTGGTAAAAAGGCTTACAAAAAGGTGTACATTAAAATATGGAGGATTCCCTGTTGGACTTTGGGGAGCCTCGCGGTTCAGAACTGGTTAGAGAAGAACTGAGCCATGTATTGGGGGATGTGAAAACTCCCCTAAGCCACAGTTGCTGCTCAGAGGGTCCTGGGAAAGTCACCAGTCAGCAGTGTAGTGGTGGGAACTACAGCCTAGCAGCCCTGGAACCTCCCAGGTCTCACACTGCTCGGCCAGATCTACTCAGCTATGAAGAAGAACCAAGAGTTTGGAATGATGAAGAGAAAAGAGGCAGTATGAACAGACCCTGAAAAGTTCTGCTCTTTGTTCCTGAGATAGAAACTCAGAGAAGAGCAGCAAGATGAATGGATACTTCTCTGGTAAATGCACCTCAGGGGCTGTTGACATTCTAGGATATGGCATTTAACTTCTGACAAGAGGAGTGGGAACATCAGCATGTTGCTCAGAGGTCAATGGCAGGATATCTGAGATGGAGAATGGTTCATTTTATGGACTGGGCCTCTTCAAAAAATTTCCATAGCCTGAGCTACTGCCATGTTACAGCCAAGTGCTGGTGTCTATGGTCCAGGCTGCCGCTGTAGGCTGTGTTGATACCAGAGGCCATATGAATGTCCATGGTTAGTGCTGCCTCTGGGGGCCATATTGATGTATGTGGTTTGTGCTGCCCCCCTGAGGCCATGTTAGTTCCCATAGTCTCAGATGCCACCAAAAGCCTTGTTGATGGTAATGGGCCATGCAACTGTGTGAGGACTTGTTGATGACCATGGTTCTTGTTGCCATGGTAAGCCATGTTGTTGTCCATCATGCAACTGTGTGAGGACTTGTTGATGACCATGGTTCTTGTTGCCATGGTAAGCCATGTTGTTGTCCATGGTCTATGCTGCTACCCGAAAACATGTTGATCTTCAACATCCACACTACCATCAGAGGACAAGTGGATGTCTTCAGTCTGTACAGCCACTGGAGACCATGTTGGTGTCCTGACCTATGCTGAGGCCATGTTGATGTCTGTGGTCCATGCTGCTGCCAGAAGCCATCATGAGGTCCATGGTCCATGATGCCTCTGGATACCCTGTGGATGTTCATTGTCCTTGCAACCTTGAAAAATCATGTGGAAGACCATGATCTGTCCTGCTGCTGGCTGTTATAGGCAGGGAAGCTTCTGTTGCACTGGTTTTGATGACTCCAGACTTATAGTTGAGAATGGGAGATGTTGAAAGGTTCTGAAACAACCTCCTTCCCCCTCAATTCCCCCCACCCAAAGAAACAGTCTAGACAGGAGGCTTTGAAGAGAGTCCTTAAAACTTGTGATAAAGATGCTGACACATAGCTCTTTACAATGAATGACTTCTGATGGGGAGATGAGAAAGGACTCCACTATCTTTAAGAGGCTGGCCACTGGGATTTGACCATGCTCCCATGAGTATATGGGTAACACAAATTGTACTTGGTGTATTTTTTTTGAGAGGTGTGAACCTGGGAGGAATGGGACGTGAGTGTGATTGGGGTGCATTGTGTGGAATTCCTAAATAATCAATACAAATATTATGTTGGGAAAAAAAATAGGGAGGAGGAAGATGGGGAAAAGTCCCTCTTACCAAAGAGAAAACAACACTGTGGGAGTAGAGTCTGGCAATCTGCTAAAAGAAAGATATAGCAAATTCTTCATTTCTAAGTGTTTCCTTGACCCGTGATAATCAAACAGCCCTGCTAGAGAAGGGTAATTATCTTTGTTAGTATCAGACACCCTGTGGGTGGGGCCACCCTTTTCCTTTTGAAAAATGAACTCAGATTAAACAAATAGCCCTTTCCTAGTTTACCGTTGATGTGAATTCCCAGAATATAAACCAAATTTATCTGTTTACCTCTTTCCCCCTATCTCATATAAAAACCAGGCCTGCCAAGCTGAGCTCTGTGAACTTCCCCTAGGCCTTGGGTCCAACAGTGTGATGGGTTAAAGTGCTTTGTATTCTGGTGAGACTTGCAATTGTTGGATTGTGGTTTTATTAGACCCCTTGCTGCTTGTCTCTGGGCAGAAACATGCTTTCTTAAAACAAGGGCAGAAGGGGAATAAATTTAAAGAAAAATTAACAATTTTGTTTTCTCTAGCAAGTGTCTGGAAACTGAACAAATAATATATGCTGTATGTATACCCAATAGATAATCCCCAAGTATAGTGGGTTGACATTAATTTTTCAGTTACAATAGTGGGAAAGCATTCCAATGGAGCCTTTCTGCTTTTCACTTACATTATAGCCTGCAATTAATATGACTGATCAGCACTTTATTTGAAAAAACTTTGCAAGTTAGATAATTTTTCCCATCTGTAGGCTAATGTTTATGTAAGACTAGGCTAAACCATGTTAAAACAGGTTAGCTGTATTACATGAATTTGTGAAAAGATATTTTTAGCTTACAATAGATTTATTGAGACTTTATTGACTTTACAAGTCAAGAAGCATGTATGTATGTATTCACACAAGGGCAAATCTATGTATCTCATACATATATGTGTACACATGCATACACCATAGGTTCAAGTACAAAAAAAGATGTGAAATATTGATGTTATCATAACTATAAGTTTGCTACCAATAAACGATAAGCTTTAATCCTTTTTCTCTAGACCTGGGTATTTTCTCAGACCAGAAATGTGTATGTGTTACCCTGTCTAATTTGTAGAATAGATTACAACAGTTCGTTTTATACAAAAGAAAGCTCTTTTCTTTAAATATTTAACTGGAAATATCTTGGACTGTGAGTAATCAATTCAAGGAACCCGTGTTATAAGCTGCTTACCCATGTGTCACATCTGACACTGTGGCACATCTGCTATCTATAGATGAGGCTCACTGTACCTTTTCTGATTATCTGCAGCCTTTAAAACTAAAATAGTCTACTATCAGACATTGCCTATGTTTCTATCATTTCTCTAAAAGGAAACCTGGCAGTATAATCATGTTGTTCTAACTAACAAAACCATCTAGATATTCCAGTTGCTATTCTAGTGCAGTGTCTTTACTGCTGGGGAAGATGAGCCTCAGAATGGGGGGGGGGGGGTCAGGTGAGAATGGCCCAGAATAGGTCTTGCCTCCTGCTGTAATTATCACAGCGAGTGCTGGTATCACTGTGCACATGACCATGTCTTTTCTTAAATTCTCCTCTGTGTCAAGGCCTCTCCCTCAAAGTAAACTAACCATCTTTTAAAGCTCTTGGTTGCCAAGCATTTCTTTATTCATTTCCTAGTCTTCAAAAGTTCAGGCCCCAGGTCAAGGGGACTCAGTGCTGTGTGTATAAACTACTCCCTAAGAATACTACCCAAAGCAATCCAAACTTTCCTTAACCCACCTTACTGCAGATGTCCTTGTGTGCCCTCTGAGGCCAGTGGAACGCTTCCGTGACCTACGTCCTGATGAAGTGGCCGATTTGTTCCAAGTGACCCAGAGAGTAGGGACAGTGGTGGAGAAGCATTTCCAGGGGACCTCCATCACCTTCTCCATGCAAGTAAGTATACAGGTTGTTCAGACATGTTTCTTGTATTTCTTTCCTTTCTTCTCAAAGCTATATGTGGGGCTCCGTATCCAACCCATTTTAGCAGGGAAGCGGTTTTAGTTGTCTGCATGTACATAATAGCAGAAAAAAAGGTCACTAATCCAAGGCAGCTCTGCTGTCCACTAGCCTCAAGGTGGACTATGGAATGGCATCATAGCAAATGTCTGGTATGCTGTTTACAAAGTAGGTGGAAGTCATAGACAAGAGATTTAAGGGATTGAATTAGTTTGCTTCTCAGTTGTGATAAAACACAAACCAAAGGCAACTTGGAGGAAGACGAGGTTCATTTGGCTTTCATCTCTACACTAAAGCCCATCATTGAGGGAGTCTAGGACAGAAGCTTCAAAGTTAGCAACCTGGAGGCAGGAATGGAAGCGAGACCACCAGCAGCACTGCTTACTGGCTTGCATCCAGGCTCACATCCAGTTACCCTTCTTAGACAATCATGGCTACCTGCCCACGGATCACACTGCTCACAGTAAGCTAGCTAGACCCTCCCCAATCAATCAGTAATCTAGAAAATGTCCCCACAGACATGTCCACAGACAAATCTGATGATACCAATTCCAGTTATTTCAACTTTGTGTCAAGTTGACAGAAATGAACCAGCATTGGGATTTACAACTAGAGTTGGGAAGGCTCTTTGCTCTGTGGTAAGTGTGTTTTGAGCATGCACAGGCTCAGCCCTCCTGTGGTTCCAAGGAGAGCAATGACCAGACAGCTAATCTAGGCCTTCTCTTCATAGGACTTACTTTACTCTAAACTTAATACAGACTGCAGAGATAAGTCACAGGTTTGTACAATAGGTTTTGTTGGACATGGCCCACTACAAAAGGAAGAAATCAGATTTTCAGTCACTAGAGATCTACAGGCAGAACTTGGTCTAGTACTCGTCAGGTTGAGAGGAGAATGTACATGATGTGTCTATTATCAGTCGGGAATTGAGTAACTTAGCAGCAACATGCCATGAACCCCTTCAGATCCCTATGGATAGGGCTAGGGACAGCAGTGCCCTGTGCTCAGAAGTGTGTTAACTCTGACTTCCCCCACATATGGGAACTGTATCCTCAGCTCTTCAAGTTAGCCAGGACACTTCCCATCTGCACCATTTAGTCTCCCTACTGTAACACAATACCCAACTGACCTAAATTATGGAAACAAAGGTTCATGTTGACTTACAATTTGAGATTAGGGGAATAGCAGGAGGAACACGAGGCCGCTGGTCACATTGTAGCCACAGTGTAGCCCAGAAGGAAGATTATTGGTGCTCAATGCACTCACTTTTTCCCTTTCATTAGCTCAGGGCACTAGCCTATGAAATGCTGTTACCCATTTTTAGCATCAAATTTCTCTCCCTAATTACTCTAATCTGGAAACTACCTGATAGACATGTCTATAGATTTGTTCTAAAACACATCAACTCGACAATCAATTATTAACCAACACACTATCCTTATGCTCTTTCCTGAGCTTTTGCCAATGACGCCAAAAAGAAGCCAGGGTGCGAAGGACCATCCAGGTGCATTGCCTGCCTCTTCCAACGTGTCTCCCAGTGAGGCTGGAGCAAAGGCCTCGTGCTGTGAGCAATATGGGCAAGATATTAGGCCTTAAGGCTGCATTGTGGGCCTGATGAGATAAGCCCCTCTGATATCAAGCCCATAGACTTTGCCTTAGAAGGCACAGGTCATCTCCTTCGGCACCTCCAAAGAGACTGAGTGTGGAAGCCAATGTATTGAAGTCTTTGACCAAAAATATTCATCTCTTTCTCAAAAGAATTTTTCTCTGTATTGAGAGTAGCTAAGCATTCCTAGAAATACAATTTGAGTCACTTCAGACAGTAGTTCAACTTGGGATTGATTTATTAAAACAGTGTTGCAAACTGTTTCCAAGGAGACCAGGTAAAGGAAATGGATGAGAAGATACCAGTGTTGGTTATCAGAGCATAGTTCCGTAAGTGTGGTGGCTGGCGATGTGTAAAGTTAGAGCAATTTTGCATAAGTAAGCTAGTGAAACTGCTTTAAAATTATACCTTATGTCAGGGTCCAAGAGAAGCCCCCAAGAAAGACCCACAGTCACATATGCAATTTAGCAAGAGCGTTGATTTCCAACAGGTTGGGGTGGCAAATAGTGACCCCAAAGGGAGGTGGCAAACACCTTTTAAGTGGGGTTAGGAGAAATCCAGGGAGGAGGGGTTAATCTGGCACTGATTGGTGGAGGAAAGATTAGTCTGGGGGCTGATTGGTGGGAGGCTCTAGTGGTTAGGGACCTTCCAGCTACAGGGTAGGAAAAGCTATCTTTAGCTAGCAGAAGGCAGGGAGCATCTGCTGAGCCAGCAGAAGGGGCTTGGGGTGCATTCTGACTGTTCCCTGAGTTGTGGTCTTCCCAAGAACTGCTTGCTCAGCTTCAGCCAGTTCCAGTAAACTGAAACTAAGGCCTGGTCCCTGGCAGGGCTATTAGAAACCTGTCATGGCTCTGGTCTGGCTCCCTAGCCCTCTCACTTCACAGTAATGTGTGGGTGTGTAACAATCCTGTGTACCCTCCCCTCACATACACATGTACCTATGACGATAAAGAGCTGGAGTTTCACACGGTAACCTTAACCCATCATCCACATTCTAACAGCTTTGGTCCTGTTATGCTTTCTTCTTAAGCACTGGTTGGAAATGATGGGTTGCCTTCATAAGCCACTAATGGGTTATGGTTCAGGTTTGAACAGGTTTAATATACATGTCAGATTTGTGCTAGTGGGGCATGGATCCTTCCTACTAGTCAGGTTCACTGAGAGGTATATTTAGCCAAAACCACAGATAGGTAATTCTATTTTGAAATTTTTAATTACAGAGAAGTTTGCCACCTTCTCCCTGGAGCACCTGCTTTCCCTTTGAAGGTGCTTGGAGACTGGGCCCGTGTACTCATTTTCAGCTATGACAATGACAATAGGCTGGGAAGGGGAAGAGGTACGTGGATAAGGTCCACTCATAACAGTCACTTTTATTTTTCTGTCTCAAGGTCATACGAGCTTGAAAGGACTGTGCCCATCAAAATGCCTCATCTCCTTGCTTGGTTGATTTCTAGAGGAGAAATTTAATCAGATATTAATTGAATTATTTCTGATTTAAAGATAACCGAACTGTAGTACTTTGCCTCCCCAAACACTTTTAGCCTTACCTTTAATGTGATTAAAACCATAGCTGAAAGCACAGAGCATGAAAAGTAGAAAGGAGTGACTTGCTGGATAATTCATATCATTTTATACATAACTCCTCACTCAGAAGGTAGTGGAGATCTGCCTGGTCCCACACATTCAAAATGAATGGTCCCCATGGGAATACTACAAATTAACACACAAAGAAATTGGATCTAAATTATTAATGAGCAATATTTCTGAATAAGCAGGCAATATCATCAGTCAGTTCTCACCTCAACTCTTTTTCTTTCTTTCTCCTCCTTCTAGGATGGTCCTGAAGCTGGACAGACTGTGAAGGTGAGTGCTTATTATGTGCACACAAATTAATAAGGGGCGATTATGGGAACTAATAAAAAATCACAACGAGTCATTTGCAGCACATTGCTGTTTCATTATGTTATCTTCGAGGTCAGAGAGACCCTCAGTGTTAGAGCCATAAATCCTGACATTATAAACTGTGCCAAACAGTATGTTTCCCATTAGTTTACAAGACATTTACCCTTTGTAGTAAAATTATTACTGTGCAAGTGCTAAAACAGAAACTAAATCGAGGAGTCCTAAAACAGAACAGGGCAGGGTACATCAAATTCTCATGGGTTTTATGCATCCTGTATAGACTAGAGCACCTGGTATATCTTTAGTTCTGCACAGAATTTAATTTCACGTCTTCAGGAAAGGGACATCTGTTGTGTGCCAGGTGTGTGCCTCCTTTCCCTCCTGGTCCCTTGGCCCGTTTTCTCTTCATGCCCACACATTTCTCTTACCTCTAGCAACTCAATACCAAAGTTCAAACTTAATGGGATCAATGGAGTTCAAAATGGTTTTGAAGTGTGCTAGAGAGAAAGGGAGGATTTATTATGAAGGCCTCTAATCACAGCAAAAGGACAGAACTCAAAAATCCTGCTGGTTATGAAGCAAGAGTCCAGCTTCTTTCACGCAAATGTGAATTCCTGTGTGGTTGGGTTCAATGCTTAAGTGACAGAGAAGGCTGAGTTTGTGGTGGTGGACATAAGAAGCAAGTCATATTATGCTGCTGATGCCACACAGTGAAATAAAGCTTTTGGGTTTTACAGCTGGCCTTGACTGGCAGGGTAACTAAGCACTAAGTCAAACGAAATGAACATGGTTCCTTTGTGGGAGTTTGGAAATAGGATATCTGGGAAGTTTCATGGTGAGTGAATGTCTCAAAGGGAAAGCTAGCAAATTCCTAATGATCAAAAGAGTAGGCCGAGTTTCTCCAAACACATGACATGGAAAACACCTGAGGGACATTCCGCTTCCATCCATTCCCCTGTCGTTTGCTGTGTTAAGCATCCAAATATGCATATGCTAAAAGAGGATTCAATATCAGTGTCTTTGCTTTGAAATTGATTCTTGAAATACAATACATAGATATTCAAGCTTGGCTAGCAGAGTTTGAAAACTCAGAATTCAAATGTAAATTTCAAATGCACTGGATTGGTGTTTGGTGAAGTTTCAGAAACCATTGAAAGTACTAAAGGCAGAACTAACGCATGGAAGAATGCGTAGCTATGTAGTGGAACACATAGACTGATAAACATAGCTGAATTTTATGTGAACAGGTAGATTATGTGCTCTCAAGATTTTATTTCACAATTCTAAAGAGGGCATTTAAGTTATTTGGTATGCAAAGGGACTTGAATAGGTGGGAAAAAGGAACTTAGAAGTTCCTAGGGGCCAGGAGAAGGATAATATAGATGTGACTGCTAATGGCTCTCTCTTGTGGTTGATAGAGATGTTACGTATTTGGGGGATGGAGATTTTTTTTTAAATGTAATCCTTTAAAGGAGACAAGTAAGCATTGAGTCCAGCAGGGCTAAGCAGCATGGCTATGGGGTCTCAGACTCCATAGTGTCACACTTATCTGAACAAGGTGTCATGTTTTTGCTAGCTTTAATGGTGCTGATGATGCACTGATTTATAATATAAAGCACCATGTATCAATTATTGAATGTACTTATCATAACCAGCATTGTGTAAGCTGATTTCTGTAAACAATTGTATCTTTTTTCTTTAAAATAAGCATATTATGTTTTGAAAATCTTTTTGTTGTTTCCAGCCTGATCACAGCATTTCCCCAGAATAAATTTGTGGGGTCAACTCACATCCTTTGTGGAATACCATGCATAAAGAAAAATTTATCACACACATACCGCACCACACACACATACACACATGCACACACACTTACACCCACGTACGCTCCACCTTTAGTAGGCAGGTAACTTTTGTTAGCTATCTGTCACACTAAGTCCTTCTATATAGAAGTGTATATTCTGTGGGTGTCAAACTGTGATATTTACACCACATTGCATGAAAGTTTACTTGAGTGTCAGCTAAACAGCACAGCCACCACCACAAATAATCTCAGCGTTGTTCTCATTAACCCTCCTAACTCATACTGCCATGACAGGACTGGAGTCCATTACTATACACAGGCTGATCTCAGAAGATGGGTACTTCCCAGCATATGACTTTCTGGTAACAAAGTAACTCAGTGATGGTGTTCAGGTAACCAGGAAGCATGGAATCCGGTCCTTCAGCCTCTCCAGGGAGCAGAGTGGTCAGTGATGGTATTCAGGTATCTAGGATGCATGGAACCTGGGCCTGCAGCCCTGCAGCTTCTCCAGGGAGAAGCATGGCACCTTCAGAACACACTTGTATCATTTGAAAGTTCTGGGTTGAGGCTGGGAATGGTTCATGTTTCGAATTTTGAAGGGAGGTTCGACAGCATGGGGCCTATCCCTTTTTCTGTTTCTTTGCCTATGTGTGAGATTCTCAGTGCTGTGTCTGATGTCTGAGTTCTGAACCACTTTTGTCTCATGCCAGGTAGTAATAGCAATAAGCCCAGTGATGGTCTCTTCCCCTGAAGCAAGTGTTGTTATTCTTAATGAGGGTACACCACTGAGTTAGCCTCTTGAACATGATGGCACTTCAGGACTTTTTTTCCTGAGGCTTTAGATTCTGCCTAGCAACACGCAGGGTGGCCTAGCTTACTCAGTAAGACCCATGTAACAAGGAAAAGGAAATATTGAAGTAAAAAGTGACCTCTTATTTCACAATTGATTATTCGGTTTTCTTCTCAAGTTTAAAAGTAGAACACTGCCAGGCACCAGATGATCAGTGCAGTGATCTGGACACCCTGCAGGGTTAAGAAGTAATCTCTGTCTCCTCTGTTATCTACTCAACCCTTCCCTGCACCCACCCAAGCTACTCTGGTGAACATCATGCTCCCTGTCCTGTTTCCTAGCTGGATTCCTGTCGAGAAATTCTTCATTGTCTCTTACACATTTGTTTGTTTATTTATGTTCATTTTTTATGTTGTTTCCTTAGTCTCCAGGGAGTATATATGCACTTTATGATTTTTGGATTCTATCATTATTGATGGAGCTTAGAACATGTTACCCAGGAAGATGACCCTGGAATTGTTTAAGATGAAGGAAACAGAGAAAACTGTGGCAGGAGGAAGGTTCACTCTCCAGCCTTGTTCTACCATTCAACTTTGAAGTAGGCCATAAAAGAATTTCCTGACCTACCTACCCCAAAAGTAGACATAAGACACTCCCTCCAGAAAGGCCCTGCTTTTTTTCTGGTAAGCTGTGAAGACTCTGAACAAGCAGGCCTCAATAAGTTACCCCAGCGTATTGCTGTTAGATCAGAGTGCTGCTTTCTTTTCCGATCTCACTTCTCCTGTCCATAAAAAAGCTTTCCCTGTTTCTTTAGGTCTTTGTGTCTGAAGCTTCCCTCAGCACATAAAACTTAAATCAAGTGAATGTGCTTCTGTTTTCCCTTGTTAATCTGAATGTTTTTGCGGTGATCTTCACCCTAAACAATAGGAAAAGAGAGGGGAGAGGAGAGGGGAGGGGAGGGGAAGGGAGGGGAGGGGAGGGGAAAAGAGGAGTGTTTTGCTGAAGTGAGTCAAATGGAGACACAATGCCTTTTTGTACTGAGACCATTTTCTACTCCTAAGTTCTCTCGTCAGTCATCAGAAAGTAGCAATTGATGTTCATCTGTTTCCACTGCACATCCAGGCATCTAGGTTTTCTGAAGTTTCTATGAAATATTCCCTATATTATGAGTATCAGACTAAATTTTCTATAAAATATGTTCCTAAATTGAAGTGTTTATGTAATTATTATTTTATTAGTAAAAACTCAAGAGTCAGATACTGGGCTAAGCACCTGATTGATCAGAGAAGCAGTGGAGAAGTGACCAGTGACCTCTCTCTGTAAACACAAAGGCTGAACCTCTCAAGCCCTTCCCCACTGTTTCTCGTGTCTTACTATATGTTCTCAGTTCTCTAAAACCTCTTGGCTAATTTTAGTCAGCTAGTAGCTAACTCTGCTCTCTGATTCAAAGTAAACTTTATTGTCAGTCTCCAGAGTGTCAGAGTATGATCAAAATATCCCACAACGCTAACTCCTAATCCCGAGTGTAATTCTAGCCAAACCAAAGCCCTAAGGTGTACTCATTCCTTTAAAAGGAAGGCTTTCTAATAAGCTTAGTGTGAATCATTTTCTCTGAGGCTGTTACATGAACATCTTTGGGTGGAGGATGCTTTGGGTGTATTAAGGGGAGATTTACTCCTGGTAGGTAATCTCAATCTATTTATAGACCATGCTTGCACATATTGTTCTATGTTTGTGGTGCTTGGATGTTGTACGTAAAGGTTTAATTTTATGCTTTTAATGTAATAGGAAGTATGTCTTAATAAATGTTGAAATATTTACTTTCTAGATTGCTGCAGCAGAAAAAAAGGAGTTCTTTAAAGAAATGTTATTAAAACTTATCTTTAATCTCCTGGTGCCTGTGGCTGTTTTTAGTTTCCTGGATCAGGAGGTCTTACACATGATATGGAGGTCTAGCCATCTTGTAGTTTAGTGCACATAGAGGACACTTAGCTGGCAGCAAAGTCTGAAAGTTAATGTGCCTTGACATCTGTCAGAGGTGCCATAGGAAACTGAGCTCTATATCTTACTAACTTTGCCACTCTGGGGCATCCTCTTAACTGTGAACCTTGATTTCTTAATTTTCCAAGTGGAAAAACTTTAGAATTGGATGGTGATGGGAAGAAGCTGACATGGACATATATAAAATATATAAAAGATGTTAAGCAGGATTGATACACGTTTATGGGATTTGGACCCAGATGCTACTTCAGATCCCAGCCTTTTCAACACATGCTGTCACTGGTGTGTGTGTGTGTGTGTGTGTGTGTGTGTGTGTGTGTGTGTGTGTGTGTGTGTCTGTGTCTGTGTCTGTGTCTCTGTATGAGT